ACCAATAATATACAAAATTCCAAAACTTAGCATTGCAGATTATATTTGTTTCCTATTAATAATCAACATATCCATGATGAAATCTTAAATTGAGGTATCGCCTATTTAAACAAAACATCAAGAAAACAAAATCCGGAGCAATGTTAAAGTTTAGAGATAAACAGCCAAGCAAACTAATAAAGTGCGACACTCGTGATGCAATTTTAGGTTCAGAAAAATAAGACAACATATATTACATGGTATTCCTAACCACTCTTGGGCCATCATGCCAACGTCCGCGATAAACGCCTAGTGCTGCTGTGAGTATGTGTGTGTGTGTGCCTGTATCATATATCAATACTATATATCTATATATATTATAATCATCATCATAGTATACTAGGTAGAACCGTTGTGTCAACTCTAGGTGGATACGTAGAATCACGTGCGTGATGCCACCAAACCTTATATGCACCTCATCTTACATATAAAAAGTCACTTCAAATATCATCGGGCAAGGACTCCCCTAGGAAACAGTCTAAGGGTTAAACGTTCTTTAAGGTGGACTGTCCACTTAAGTGGACAAGCTTCTTGCTCCTATATATATATATAATATATCATAGGTAATTATATATACTACTATATATATATATATATAATAATATAATTATGAGAAATATGGGGTATCGCAATGGTACCGAAAAAGCAATAAATTTTGTGCTGTAGGGGTGACATAATCCCTTCAATTCAATTATAATTTCAAATAGTGGGAACCCATCTCACAATGGGCCTTGCATGAGTGTATGGGATACCTGCAACCATTTGAATGATGGACGTGCCATTATGTCACCTCCACTCCGAACCGCATCTCACTTTTTATGGGCTTTGTACCCAAAGCATACCAATTGTCTTTCTATATATAGAATATTACTACATACATACTATATATAGACGAGAGACAAAAAAACCAACATTCATGGGCCACCATTAACACGTCGGACCTGTCCATTCTAAGTTTCTTAGTCATTCGATGACTCACTGTGATTACATACATTATGCAATCGATACGCAATCCCGTTAAACCTTGAATCTTACATAATTCTAAAACGGCCAACACACCAAATCTGGGTGAATCCCTTCCGTCGGTTTGCCGCCCTTCATGCCACTCCGTGATCCAATTTTAGCGAGTCTTCGAAGTGAAATAGAAAACTTATTAGCATGGCTCGACGCGGAGGGTCAAAAGCCACGACAAGTTCACCTAAAATTTTGTGTATTGGGGTTTTAGAATATGTAGAGTTCAAGTTTCAACCGGAGCGGATCATGCACAATGTCTGTCAATCAACGTGATCAATCAATGACTAAGAAACTAGAGGACGTTCACATAAAGTTGGACATAAGATTTCTCATCTCTCTACTCGTCTCTCTCTCTCTCTCTCTCTATTATATATATATATATATAATATATATATATATATATTATATTATATATATATATATATATTATATATATTATATTGATGATGTTTAGGACCAATAATATACAAAATT